GGAATAAAAGAACCAGACGAAATAAGATTTCTAAATCTCTTACTAGAATGACTAGAACGTTATGTTGATCTAACTGACTGAGTAAATGCTGGAAAGATTGTGGGAGTAAAGCCTGTACAAAATTTAATAATGGCAAGCTCTAGAAAGGTAGCCCTGAGGCTGATTGGCAATGATTGTTAGCTAGACAAAGTTGGTTTAATGAATAAACAACATTTGAACTCGAGAAGCATAAAATTTATAGGGGAATCAATGGAGGTATGCAAAAAACCAGACACCTAACCGTACTTAATTTATGATTAGGTAAACGTTGTTCTTCTGAAGTTTGATTTTTTGAAGTCAGCTAACTGTTCTGCAACAAAAGCGCAGACTTATGAGCAATTCGCAGAAAAAAACATCCAAAAAATCGTTTGAAAACAAACCACAAGATATTAATTAATCTTGGCCAGTTTATTTAGCTACTTAGTGTTAACAACTCATACACTTCACTAAAGGTTTATGAACAAAACTACCATTTATGACAGATTTACTCCTTAGTAATATAGCAGTAACTCGTATAACATACAAAGTGTGCTCTAGATTCGGATACGAACTACTAATAAATAACTTCATGTTCGGATTAATATGATGAGATCATACAGTGTCGCACACAACTACTAAAAGAAAAGACAAGTGAGTAAAAGCACCTACGTTCATGGACAGAATGTCTACGCGTTTTCCCTTGTGTATTAGCGGGTTGGTTGTCATTTAAATCACAAGGACTACTATTATCACCCAACTGTTGAGATGAATGAGCAGGTAGAATACTCTTTTCTCTGTTTACGTGCTTAATTATTTGATCATTTTCTTCACCATCTTGTCCATCTCTGACAGTAAAAATAGGAAAATGACTTGATTCATTGAGATTGTTATTTGGTTCAAAATGCTGCGTTGGTTTACAGACATTGAAAGCAGGATTTTGAGTAGAGTCGCATTTTCTTTTGGTATTTTCAGAATCATGGAAGTCATTTTTATCCTTTGATGAATATTTTATTCCTTCACTACTCCGGAATTTAGAATCTAACATATCGGTTCCTGAGGATGGCAGAATTAAGGAATGAACAAGATCTCTACCAGCAACACGTCCCGACATAGTAATGCGTTGATGGTCATCTGATCCCGTTTTGCTGTTGATGTAATTATATCCAGAGACTGACGGTTGACCTAGGTAATCCTGTGGAGGTGTGGTATAACAATGTTCACTAGACTCCACTTCTTGATCCACAAGTGGAGAATCAGACTGCTTAATCAGTCGCCTTGAAAAGTGAACTCCAGGTGACTTTGAACAAGAATGAATATCAGGCACACTAAATTTCCTTAGACCAGATTTTGATGGGAACTGAGTGAACTTTCGACGAAATTCAGGGTGGTAATAAGATTTATCTTTCGGCAACTTGTGCGGAAATGGATGTACAACAACTTGTTGCATACTGGATGACTGAAAATAAAACAATCGAGAAAAAATATAGATATAAAGAAATGGTAATCGCTTTATGAATGCTCAATCTCTTCAGCTTAGAGACAAAGACGCTTGATTTCAAGATAATACTATATTTGGGCATTACATTGTGGAAATTTAGTGAATAAACATCGATTTATTATTTGACATGCACATCTCAGTAAGAAAACCACATTCTTCAATACCAGTGATAAGAATACAGTCTTCATCCGACTGAAATTACCTCGATACTTCGCCATTACACTGAAAAACCTTTAAGAGAAGTGTATACACCCGATTATTCTGTAATAGAAAGTGGAATATGAGTCAAACGCAGATGCAGCCAATTATAATATTAGAAAAGGAAAAACAATGGAACGGCAGTTTCAAAATCACGTAAATTCTTCTGCCCTTGTTAAGCTACTCGGTGCATATACATATACAGAAAAAACCAACGTAATATAAGAGTAGAACCTCGACACCACCGTGGTAGTGGGTAATTTCAAACTAGGTAATTCATTTGATATCTCATAAAGTGAATTTCACTACCTTTCTTTAAACTGTGGGTTGGTATAAAACTATTTCTAAACCATCATCCTACATTTGGCACGTGCGAAATACACGTTAAATACATGCAAATTTCCGCTCGGTATGTTCTGAACACCCATGATTCTGTTAGCGACCTTACCAAACAGGACAACGTCATCTGCGTAAGTACACACCCTCCAGGAAGTAGATAAACCAATCCCAGTGAAGTTACACGTACCTACGGTTATGTTCATTAGTACATCCACAGCTAAATTAAACAGGAACAGTGACAGCAAGCATCCTGCTAAATATCACCGGTCACCGTCAGTCCACATGACAACTCTCCATAAGACCATACACGGCTGGGTGAGTACAGAGATTTTACTAGCGTTGTATACTCGGTACTCCTTTCACAGTCAGACACCACCAGAACAACACATTCGACCGAGTCAAATGCTACCTTCAGGTCGAGAAATATAGCAAGTGCGGTCACTGGTCGGTAAGTATGCCTGTGTTCCAGAACCTGTCAGAGGGTAAAAAATATGATCGATGTACTCTCATCCAGGTCTCAAACCTGCCTGGTTTCTTTGAGTTCATTGCTCTCGAGCCCCAGTTAGGCGTCAGATAACTACGGACCCCAGGATCTTGGACGCAATATTAGTCGAATGATTCCCTTATAGCTGTCATATCACAATAAGACTTTTTTCCTTTCACACAGACTGGAATGACCAATGAAGTAAATCAGTCTGATGGCACTACCTCCAAACCCAATACGCTACCTAGTACCTCCGTCACTCTACTCACTAATTTCGCACCTTAATCCTTAGAAACATTCTCACTGCAAACCATCAGTCCCCACTGATTTACATGCTTTCAGATTTGGTTGAAACAACCTTCTGAAATTCGACTACAGTTGGAGGAACAACATCTACGTCCCATTCAGATTCGGACTAGATGCTGGGTCACTGGAGGGTGGCTCTAGAATAGTTAAACTGTGCTTCAGATTGTTCCACCAAACGTTCTAGACATCTGTCCTGAGAGGTTATGAGGGTCCCATTCTTTTCGGTGATGGTCGCACTTAATATCGTCTTCTTGCCAGTATCCTAAACAAGCCTAAATAACAACCATAGTAGGAATGTCCTCTTCATTTCTTTCCCTTTCAAAATTAACTGTTCGCAGTCAGTAAAACGGAAATCACTGACGCTTGCTAACCTTCGAATGTAGGTTATTAACTACCTTTACAGCTATTTTTACACAAGATCGTATATCACTGGTCTCCTTAAACCACGCTCTAAATTACAAATTGGAGTCTCCACATCCTCCGTCAAATTAGCCAACAAGCTTCATAAGCCAAGACTCTAAAAACTCGGACCATGAGTGTGTTGTGTTTGTGAGACTCATATAGAGGACTCAAGTGCGGTAGGACCAGACGGACTAATCCTGAAGTATACAAGGATGGTGGTATGGTGCTCTTAGTCAGGTTAACGAAAGTGTTAGCCAGTATATGAGAATCAAATACGATCCCCTCTGACTGGTCTAAATCACTGATTATCCCAGTCTTAAAGAAAGGCGAGAAGTCCTCTTGTGATAACCACAGAGAAATCAGCCTGACGAACATAGTGTCCAAGATCCTAGGTTATATAATTCTCGACGCCTGAGTGGAGCTCAGGAACAGTAAGCCTGAGAAAACCAGACAGGCAGGCTGTAGACCCGACCACGGGTGTATCGACCAAATAGACACGCTTACAGACGCCCGACACTAGCTGTATTTCTCTACCTGACTCCGTTGATCGAGAAGTCTTGTGGCAATGTCTCACTGAAAGGTGTGCCGAGTAAGTACATCACCATATTCAAGGCTCTCTACTCGGACACTTGTGGGCATGTTAGAGCCTATGGTGAGATATCGGGTAAGTTGTGTACGTCAGATGGTGTCCGTCAAAATTCCTCCATTCCTATTCAGTTTATCATAGATGTTCTCACGAAGGTCTCCCTCTCGATGTCCAACTACAAAGGGATCAACCTAATGGCGGGAAGATTTTTGGTAAACCTAGAATATGAAGATGACATAGTCCGATTAGATGAAGATGCTGACAAGATGTAGAGTATTCTGGACACCTTGAGTAGCAATCTCAGAATGTTTGGGATGTGTTTCTTGTCAACCAAGTGAAAATTGTTGCTCAAGAACTGGTCTTCGACGATACCCCAACTAACAACAGAGAGTGAAGTGGCTGAGGTTGTTGAACACTTCACTTACCTAGAAAGTTGGATCAGCCCTGGTGACTCAATGGCCGACGAAATCTCTGAACGAATACAAGCGACTCGGCTAACCTTCGTCGCGATATCTGATTATCTATTAAAGGTCGAATGTACTGTGCCGTAATCCTCTCTAATCTACTGTATGGCTGTGAAACATGGCCACTGAAGGTAGAAGACATGAGAAAACTTGAGGTATTGGACCATTGTTGCCTTCGTAGTATAGGCCGTATTCCGTGGTGTCACTATGTGGGTAACCCAGTCAGGAGTAGAGTTTTAGGGAGAAGTAAGTCGGTTGGCGAGGTTGTGAAACTTCATCGACTGGGATATTTAATACGTATGGTTAGCCATTAGCTGCCTCGTCGCATAGTGTTGACCGTAGGTTCAAGCTGGAAAAAGGCTCAGGACGGCTAGGCTAAAACACGGCATCATTGACTGTTGGTTTGAGCCATGTAGGGAGATGCAGACCAGTCGGATGAGGTCTGTGGGAGAAGAGAAACCAGTGGTTGGAGACTCTAGATGATATGGCTCGGAATCGATGTCAGCGGCGCAGATGCATACATACATAATCCTCATCTTAACCGCTATACTTAATCTCATTATCTTCTCATTCTTCCTCCCTTTTATTACTTTTCACTACTACTTCCTTAGACCGATTTTTCTTTTTTCATCTTCCATTTTATTGTCTTGTTACTTTATATGCCAATATGAGGTGTGGTAACTTGGACCGTTACGCAGTAATGCCTGGTCCTATGTTGATCTTGATGATGGTGAGACTGTATATCACACAACGCCTTATCAGAATGAGGATTGCTGTCACGCGCAAATAGATGCTTAGCTATCCTTTCCCTAAATACGTACTTCACGTTCGCATTTTACATTCCAACACACAGCATGCTTCACTTCCACCTCATTCCTGTGACCAGTAAGGTGTAAAGAATCACGTGTCCTTACGAATAAGTCATTGGAGTTCAAACAGATAATCCAGAAATAGCGGTAATCCTCTACAGATCCTTTCCAACGACGGCAATGTGATAACATTAATGTGATCTATCTCTGTCCATCGTTGGTTTGATTTCGGTGGACATCATGTGAGACAGTGTTTCTTCTTATGCTTAAAGTTAGTGCTGGTCAGAAGCAGGTGATTGTCAGGACAAAACTGTAACAGACAATCACCATTGCCGGTTTGTTGGTGTGAAATTCTGTAAATACCCCCAAGATGCCTTTCCAATTGACTCAGCTTCCCTACTTGAGCTTTAAAGTCTCCTATCATCATGACTACATCTGAACGTCTTGCTTTCTGTAGTAAAGACAGCAGCTTCTCGTGGAATTCATCCTTTGCATCATCCGAACTACAGATTGTCAGGGCGTAGACAGAGACTACGAATAAACATCAGTGATTCCATTTTTATTGATTTATTAGATTTATCCAGTAAACAATACCGTTACGCTGTGTGATAAATCTAATAAATCAATAAAAATGGAATTGTATTCTACTACAGTGCACAAGTTTTATCCTTATATTCATGAAACATCAGTGAGTCTAACGGTATCTCCGAGACCGTTCAGAATCATTTAGCCGAGCAGCATGCATACGGCTGTTGAATGGCATTCAGTTGACAAGTGCGCTTTCTGCTATGCAAATTAATGCTATCCCTGCACGAACGAGTTCGCGAGAACCCGCCATTGACTATTAGAGTACTCGTAAATCAAATTTCACCACATCGGTCAAGTGAATAAAATGTTTGATAAGGAAGCAAACGTCCATAGCTCGAATTTATAGAGTTTTGGCAAGATATGTCTGTGGTTCGATTTAGCATAAGATTCGAATGTGAAGGAATACTATGAGAAATCAATAGTCCGTTTTTTGGCAACTAGAAAGTGTTTTCCTAGTTCGAATAGTTAGCAATGGTCATAGAACAACTTGAAGCGAAGGATTATTATCGAATCAAATAACAGACGAAATATCACTACTTCAGAGATAATGACTCCGGTGTTTGAACTTAAATACTCATGAATATATTTCAGTCATTTGTATTCCGGCTGGTTGCCAAGTAAGTGGATAAAAAGTTAGTCTGCCTGGAACACTTGTTTTTTCTCCTCGAATTCATTGTAAGAACATGTTTCTCTGCTTATCATTAGTCCTTGTTTCATGCTTGCATTAGTGTGAGGAGAGATATCACATCAGGCGCACAAACATTGATAAACAGCAGAAAATTTAAGGAAACTGCAGTAAAGTAAGGCTGTAATACAAATATTTTTTGGCATCGATTTGATACTATAAATTTATACAGCAGTTGAAAGGGATAACGCTAAAGTCGAATAAAAACCACCGGTATATTACGTAAATATTATTTGTGTGGACTGAAATTCACGGAATATATACTAATTAGGGAAATAACTAACTTGAACTTTATGATAACAAAAACTGACGGCTTACAGTTGGCATCATTTCGTCGATAACCGAACCCTCTTGACTTCCTAATAGCACATGAGGCTGAGATGCATCAACTTGTTCCCGCTGACGTAGACCTTGGGAGTGGGCATGTAGACTGCGTCTGTACTGTTTCACAGCTGAAAGAGCACCAAGTTCCATTGCACGATTCAACAACTGAATAGGATTCAGTCTAGTATTTGGCGTTGAAGGAGGGTTGGCATCATCTTCTTCGTCACTATCTCTATCTGCTTCCTGACCATCGTCAAAGTAGGTATAACTAAAAGCATTCTGATCAGCAATAAGAGGAGTATGGATTTGTGAAGTTACACCAATTGTATTATGAGAAATTGTTTCGGGGAACATGACATCATTTCTTTTAGATTCACCACCATTTGTTACAGTCAGAGCTTTTCCAGAATCGTCCATACAGTCAAGATCTATGTTTGATGTCTTATTGGCGTACGAAGAAGATTGGCTTTGAGTGATGCCATGGGCAGTACTTGGTCCAAGAGCCTGGAATAGTATTGAAAGAGAATTTTATTAATGTATATTAAGAATAGTTCGGGAAGACATCCGAAAAAGTTAGACGATAATAAAATTAACATGGATTAGCACTCAGTTACCAATCACCTCAATATGTCCAGCTATCATTAGTGAGAGAAATATGAAATAAAACTTTACAAATGTCGAACACTAATTCGAGATTACTGACTGAAGTCACACAAATGAGATCGGCGGTCAGTAACCTGAGTACAGTGACGCAGATGTATTCCCTATATTTTAATTCAAATCCATATCTTACCCTATTTATTCCTGTCTTCCTCATCACGTATGCTTCCCTCTCAGTTAACTAACAGTGTGCACCTCATGAAATTTTCTCTGCATCACCGGAGCCTATGACAGCTGAAAACAATTACATCAAAGTATATGCTGCTTTACGTGTACATTTCAGATTCACCAGTTAGTCAATTAACATTACCTTCAGTAACATTTATGGATTTAAATATAGTTATTAAAACAAATATATTAGGACGGTAATAGAATAATTTGTAAACAAAGTTTATGGATAAGTGCAAACGGTTAGATTGTGCAACATCATTCGTTAACTTAGTATCAAACTGGTTTAAGTAAAATATAAAAAATATAAATTTACACTCATTTTCGAGAAACAACAAATGAAGTTTCAACTCCTTTTTCATATTAGACCTTAAAAGGTGCATCAAAAACGTTTACGTAATATTGAGCGTGTACTTTAACCTCAAAGTATAAAACCTATTCATCACTATTATATACTAATGAATATCACAGTGTTGAGCAGTTACCACGGTTATTATCTTGAATTAAATGCTTGCACTTTTCCTTCTAATCTACGTGTCAACAAGCTTTCTGTCATTAAGACCAAACGCCATAACTTAGATTGTGCTGTCAACACCTGCAATCTAAAAGTGAACTAAGTCACATGAATCACTCTAGTAATTATGTGCATATTTTACATATTATGTAACCGAACCATGGATAAGAGTAAATCAATGCACTCTAATATTTCTTGTAGTGTATGTTGGAACAAAAATTCAACAGGAACACCATCAAGAAGAAGCAAAAATATACAAGTTTTAAAGTTTCATGAAATATGTGCAGAAAATCTCTTTAAAATTCATCGCTACACAAAACATTTCTTTTTAGCTCACAATGATCTCAAAGTAACTGATACAAGAAATTGTTATGAAGAGAAATCCTGGTCAATGCAGGTCCAGTAAAACCAATAGTACATGAAACATAACGAGAAATCCCGTAAGAACTATTCCAGTGAAAATAACGAACCTTAGGAGGACTAGATTTTGATAACGATATTTTTGTTGGTCTCCTATGGCTCCGAATAGCATTCTTGACAATAGTGCACTTTTCTGGACTGCTAGGACGGTCCTTACTGGAGAATATGGCTTCAGAAGCTGAAAATAATCGCCTATGTGTTTCATGGGGTCGATGCCGAATAGGAGGTCCATTTAGATCCCGACGTTCAGCAGTACGATAGGTTATTTGCTCATTAAAAGGTGATGGAGATGTCTGAGTAGAACGTAAGGCTGAGGAGTTAGGAGCAAATGCATTATGTTCACTTGACTGTATAGGTACGACAGAATTAATATTCTTTTGATGTCAGCAAAGTGTCGTCGCAGAAACTCAGGATGAGATCGCATACGACGATGTCCTAAAGCAGGTCCCGGATTGGTAAAATCTTCGTACATGTCAGGAAATTGAGGTTGTTCACGATGTTGTTCAGATTCCAGAGCACTTCTGCCTTGAGAACTTGGACGACCACGACGGCGTTCATTTCTGAAAAGGAAAAAGTGGAATGAAAGTCAACCACGGATTTGAATACAGTAACAGTAACATAACTCATTTTGAAAATGAATCAATGACAGTACCCCTGATAAAAGTGCTTTCGGCTGAAGCTTGGAAGTTATATTATTCTACATTCAATGAAGGTAGGTGATGAATGTTCACTATATGAGACTTTACTTAGGACCCAGAGACAAACAAGTAGGCGAATTCTACGTAGAAGTTCCCACCAGTCACAGACGTATGTAATAAACAAGTGGATAGAAAAAGAGTATGGAAGCTGAAACAATTTAAGAGTGAATACATCTACACCGATTGGTTGTTGTCTAATCCTGGATGCTGCCTGAATTCTATCGATCATTTGGCAATGTGACCACCAAGCTAGGAGGTTCACAGAGATCAACTAAGATCGATCCAAGTGCGTTGCACTGCACCGATCAGAATTCCGGACTAAACAACATAAAATTGGTTGCCCTCCGGTGACCAATCAATATGTCTGATCAAGTCCTACAGGAGGTCAATCGCGGGTTGAGGAGCCCAGTGGTAACGTCGCTGACTGCAACACTTGGTGACGCGAGTTCGAACCTCAGAGGCGACATCACTTCTCTTGAGGTTGCAGATACACTTTGCTGATGAGTGGCCACAAGCACGAAACCTACGTCCAGAGCTTCCTGTTGATTGTTTCCAATTAACTAACAGTGAATACGTCTGCACTGGTGAACGATTTTCAGTCATATCACCAATACTCTACAACCGTTCATTTGTATTGCTCCTAGGACCACAAGAAGACAGTATACAACTCCCCATACGGATCAGATCAACAGTTAGACAATTCGAAGACTTGTGTCAAGTCTCAGTGGGGTCATTCTTAACCTTCTTCCAGCCTTATTCCACTTCAGATAGCACTGCACATCAAAAGGTGTAGGTGAACAGGAGAAAGACTGAATTTCAAAAACGCTGATGAATACAGCTGCTTTCACATTTATTTTATCTACTTAAAACAAAGTTCAATGCTCATCCACAGAATAGGTGATAAAAGACAGATGCTAACTATACAACTCCGACAAATATTTCTTTCTTTTCTAAACAAGATTTTGATCATATTACTGCTTACAAAGCATGGAACAGTTTCACGGTCAGGCAAGCCTGTCTATACACTGCATCACCGACATGCAATGACAATATTACCCAATACCAAAGTTAACAATTTATCCAATATATAATCGAAAATCAACAGTGCTTAGGCTCTTGAATCAAAGCATAGATGACAACTTTTGTGCGCAAGTAGCAGAGAGACAGAGAAAAAAGTGGAACAGTGAGGACACTAACACGACGATGAGTCATAAATTTCATGAAATGACTTTTTGCTTAGTAGTCAATTACATCACTTAAAAGTGCAAGTACCAACAGACAGGCTTTTTTGAATTTGTAGCAAAACAGCACGTTCGTCATTAGCGACTTTAAAGGCTAGCCAAATACCTGTATCTCCAGTGATTGTTATACTCCATCTGTGTTAACATTGAGACAAGAACGACGCTATTGCATATATTCAAACTGAAATAACCAATAACAACGTTTCATTTGAAAAGTTTGTTCTGGGTATAGACACGCTCATCCTTGGAGACCTTTAAAATTACTCGTTCAGTTGCTTTGATAATGTTTAAAACCAACTATTAGCCAAAGGAATAAATACATGTTTGTCACATCAGTGGATATACACTTGACAAATTTTACTTACTCCGTTTAAATTTCTAAATGTTTTGAAATTAGGGATGACCTAAGATGCGTTTATGAGATAAATCTTTAAAAGTTTAAATCTATACAGTTTTACTTACCTGATAGTACTATATGGATCAGTATAATTAGAAAGGATATCCAAAACGTTTGGGTCAATACTTGGCCAAACATCTCGTAAATAATTTTTCCCTCTGGGTACCAAAGTAACTTGTGATTTTGACGTACGACTATTCATAACCGTAGCACTTGGTGTTGTCAATTGTTTTTCAGGCTCTTCACTAACAGTTGACCTCGGGCACTTTAAGTTATTTTTACTTTCACGCATGCGCATCATTGATGGTGGTGGACTGGCATCATCTTTGTCAGAATGATCACTATCATGTCCAATAATATGTGTTTCACGATTTACGAAATCGTCATCCTCTTCGGGATCACCCTCGAAAAGATAGTAATCACCGGAACGAAGCACTATAACAATAGAAATACATTAAATTGAAAAGATTATAACAATAATCACTTCAATTTTGAGGGGGTTGTGGAGATTTGGAAATATTTCAAGTTGTTATTCATCGAAGACTGACATCAGTTGGAGGAACAAGGAAACCTGGGAGCACTGGACAGCTGTTTCGTCCTAGTATGGGACTCCTCAGCAGTGCGCACCCACGACCCCACCAGCAGGGATCGAACCCGCGACCTTCAGGTTCCGCGACCAGCGCGTTACCATTGAGCCACTGGGTCAGAATCCAATGCTCCATATTTCCAACTTCTGTTAGCTCACGATATAGCGCAAACCGCCACCCAATGTCATCGTTGAGTATTTGTCCTCACGGCCATCAGGCTTGACTCCACCGGTTCAGTGCTCCCAGGTTTCCTTTGTTCCTCCAACTGATGTCAGTCTTCGATGAATAACAACTTGAAATAATCACTTCATTCGAAATTATTTTGATACAGTTTAGAATTCCCAGCATATTTCAGTGCTGTATGAATTCAGTTTTATAATAACTGGTAACGTATAAAACTGATGGAATAAGTAGTGCAGAGGCAATGAAAGATGAGTGAATTGGTTGTGAACAGTATTCGTGAAAGTCCAATGCACTATTTCTTCAGATTTCGTAATCATTCCCCAACTCAGTAACTTTGCACAAGTAATGGGTTACTAGCGGAACCTTAAGTTTAAGTATCCATAAAGCCATTCAACTATCCAGTTCAATATCGCTAAAAAGGTGGGGATCAATGAGTAGTAATAAAATGCTCCAATTACACAGCTGTGCGCAATTAACTAATGTAAGCAGATTCCTATAACCCCCATCACTTCCTAAGTGAACCAAGAAAATAGCCATACAGAGGGTTTATAAAACTTGGTCAGTTATAAGGCAAGGAAAGGGTAAACTCGGAGCTTTGATGATTATTTTTCAACATAATACTTCATGTATTATGAAAAAACTTAGAAAAAATTGTATTTGCATTATTGTTGTGCAGTTACTTTGATTTTCACCATTCAAAAGTAACATCAAAAAAATAAAAATGTCATTCACTTTTTGACTTACCGTACCTACCTAAGTTCTGTCTCTTTTTGAGGCTGTAATCCCTAGTGTTGTAGACTAAACCTTAAATGTTTATGTGTATGGGCTCTGCTTTATCAATTGATATCAACATAAAGAAAAGGACAGCAAGTGCTAACTTCACTCTCTTCCTTTTGGAGGTTTAAATGAAGTGTAAGTGATTCAATCACGGGAAATACTACAAAATAAGAAAACATTTATTTTGAAATCGTAGACTGCATTAAGTAAAAGCATCTAGTTATAGGTATCAGCAGAGTATAACACTAGAATACATCAAATTTGTAGTCTATTAAGCATGTAACCATTCATTTAATAATCTACTTTCCTTAGTCTTGTTAACTAAGGGTATAGCCTTTGAAACAGTAAAAGTAGCTTACTTATGTAATGTTCCGTAACATTAGCATTACTACGTCCAAATGCTTCTTGACGTTGTTGTATGCGATTGATTTTTTGTTGGACTTTTGTTAAGTTGTATTGTTCCTCCATTGCTTGTTCATGAATAGCCAGCATTAACTTTCGATTGATAAGATAAGCACCACTGCGACAAAAGAATACAAAGGATAAAAGAAACTAAACTTTATTTACATAACATTTCAAATAATGATTATGACAAAGGAATAGAATGAAATTACAAGGGTAATGATTATAATCGAAAGGGATATGATATCAGCACTAAAACTCACCGAGAAGCAAATTGACTTTGAACCTGCAAATCAAGGAATACATGACTGAAACTATGAGATGTGAAGACTTTACGTTGAAATAGGATGAATATAAAGCATATGACATCCCAATGCAAACCGCTTGATACAGCAGCACATGATGTTTCATATCCAACTAGAAAATAACATAGAAGATAAATACAGTATGCAGATGTTGACCGATAAATAGCATCAAAATTACAAAATAGCATCAAGTCATACACAAGACACGATTATGAATCCAAACCAGGAACCGATAAAACACACCCAATACATTGTGCTAACTGGCTATCCAGATAGAAGTGAAATACCACTTTCGTTTAAAATCAAGCTGCTCAATGGAAAGTGATAAACTCCAACTGCTAACCTGAATATAATATTCAGTACTAGTTAACAGTAAAACTAAAGCATTCGACAGAGTTAGAAACGATGTAGCACAAACATTTAAGAGAATATTTACGAGAAGTGTACGCCATATATATTCTATGAAAGCAGAACAACATACGGTTAGTAAATAAATTTGTAAGCAAATGACATCTGAATAGTAATAACTCGTCTACCTGAGATCTGACCAGTAATAATATAGTTAATAATCAACTCATTATTTTAAGCACAGCTTAACAGCTCAGAAATTGGTTTCAATCGATGATTTAAAGCACATATAAAATCACCTCACCATTATTGGTATGTGAAAAAACAAAGAATACACTCGAATAATCAGAAAGCTATATGAAGAGGCAGTTTCATTGTAATTCTAAGGTCATACAGAAGTTCATTTAATAAACGATGTAACACGGAGATTGTTTTTAATCTGAATGATACCTTCACCTTGTATGGTAGCAGGGGATTTAAATGCATAATCGATTATTAATAATCATATGCCTAGACAACAAAGTCTTATACTTTAATTCTGTATTTTTTAACCACCTAAATTTTAACATAAAATGAACTTTCCGGATGTACACCATTTGATTAAGTATTACTTACTTGGTAGCTGGAAATGATTCCACGACATGGGATTCATACATTGCACGCCGAACAATTGTATCAACCAACATCGATCAGCCATACGGGACCAATAAACACAGCCCATGAGTTGAAGACTACACTTAGCCAAAATCACACAAAAATTATATCCAATAATAACGTTCCATCTAAAAAGTATAAAAAGTAACATGTGATTAGTTCGAGCATAAATGCGCAATAACAATGATGGTATTAAATGAAACTGAGACTTAACTACAATTTCTTAAAAACAGGGAAAATACGTTGGGTAATTTAACTGAACTGTAACATAGCTTGCAGCTACAGACATCAGGATTGAATATTGACCTGATAGAGTTGAATAAGTTGAGTGTTGGGTAAATGGATTATAAACGAAGTATATTTGTAAAATCCCAATGAGGCAGAAAAATAAATCTCTAACGTCTCGCAATTTCGTGGAAATCGCTTCTTCAGAGAAAAACCCTGTACAAGTCATTCAATGTTTGAATAGTAAAAGGTGACAAATCAGATCACGTTGTTATATATGTAAATATATTAGACGCTAAAATGAAAAGAGGTAGTGAGAAACAGAGAGGACAGTGGTGAGACAGTTGTTTCACATGACCTATTAGAATTTCAACTATTCCCAAAAATGTACTGACTCCTGATGTTGACGTCATCACTATGAAGTAAAATTCTATAAAAACCATTGTATGTAAATAAAGAATCTTTAATATAGCAGTAAAACTAGGGCACTGCAGTAGATTCTAATTCCATTAAATCAGGTGATATAAATATGGACAATAAATTATGTCCGAAACGTTATCCAGTAAGTAGTACCGTTCCACTGCGTGACATTCCTAATAAACAGACTAAAAAGGAACTAAGAGTCTTGTATCAGTGATTTGTATCAAGTCAAGAAGATAATACAGCTGTGATGCAATGATGGTAAGAAAAAACTCTTGATGACTGAAGTGAAGTGGATTCTTGGCTAACAGTTGAGTCTTTTAGTTCATTCACAAGATATAGGCCAGAACTAAGGGGCACCTTGTTGGAATACTGACACGACCAAGGTTTCAGTTTTTAATTCAATCATCAAACCTATACATGAGTATCCTATTAGCAATGAAACTTTATAAAACGTAGAAGGCTGAGATTAAAGAATCACCATAATTATATGGTGTGTCACAAATGAACATACATTTTGAGTGTTTGTCGTGCTTTATCCAAAAACAGTTGTGGTTTTTGTAGACAATATTGGCCGAAGGAACTTTAAAAAAGAGCTATGCTGTACATAACTCGTCCTAAAACGTTAAGGTGTCTATAGCTGTTGGTGAAACTATATTCTCTTCGAAATTCGAACTACATCAATCAGAGATGCTTACAGGAATATACAAAAACAATTTGAATAAAAAAAGTGGCAAATGACACACAGATTACCAAAACCCCACTTAAAACTTACGAGTTGATTAGATTAGTTCGTTTTCTTAGCATGACATTCAACCCCATCCATAGATATATGAAACTCAGTATCATATAGCCTAAGCAAAACAATGTGATCCAAACAACTCCAGTGACCAAGACAACCGCCAGACTGACCCAGTATGACCAATAAAAGATGAGATGACGCATATAATCTAAGTATGACCTGTAATAAAAAAACGGAATGCAATTAAAGACATAGGACAAAATGACAAGTTGTAAGTGACCCATTCCATAGAGAAAAGTTACCAGATCTAGTAACTTCAGAAATCAAAATATCATTGGTCACTTCAAAAAGGATCAACAGCTTGAAGAAAATTTAGTATAGTGATACCAGGTGTACAACCTAAAGTGTAAACGTAGCCCAGTGGTGTAGGCATTAATACAAACTACAAGTTTGTGGACAAGTGATCAGTTTCTAATCATTCAACCATAATCATGAGCAGTGCAACAACACAATTTATGTGCCAAAACTGTGCAAAATTAAGAAGACTTTATTGGACTATACTACTGAAACAAAGAAAATGCTTAGACAACACTACGACGTAACAATAGGTTTCACCAGACAGACCTAAACATTGAGCAGAAAGTCATTTGATTGTTTCGAGATGACACTCCATAGCTTGAGCATTCTTACAAAAACTAAAAATATTCAGCAGTAAAGCAAACAAATCAAAATTTCATACAACGCCACCTATGAGACAATTTGAGAATAAAAGTCAAGTCAATAAGTTTCGTTTCGGAATGAATAAGCTTATAAGTTTATTACAGTTTAATGACTGTCAATAACCCTGTGTACTGTACTGTACTGTACTGTTCGAATCTAGTAACCAAGTCGGTGCAACATGCATAGTATGACTATGTATACTCATAATTGTTGTTGATCAAAAGTGCAGTATAATTTCATTGCTTAGAAGTTGGCAAAGTTGTGCACTTCGAAAACCTGTGAATTCTACAGTACTTGTTAAGGCTTTTAATGGTAAACTGAGAGGTCTATGAATGTATGCAATAATTTATAACATGTTTTAAAACGTATCCTGACCAATAGTGGACTGATGGTGTGGAAAAAACTTGGGCACCGAGTTAGTAGGATTCATCGTATAAGATGTATTTTACTTGTGTAGACCCGGTGTAGTATATTAGAACAAATAAAAAAGTCATCAAAATATTTGTTCATTTTGTTATTTCTTCTAATATACTACGCGGGATTACGCAAGTAAAATACACCTTATACGATAACATATTTTAAGGGCATGTATATTGTAAATGACTCGGAAAATTTGAAAATGAATAACAACTAGATGGCGGTTATGAGGTTTGTTAAGGTGATAATAGTTTATCATTGAACAAACCTTTTTACAGACATTGAACTACATTACAAATGTGACAATGCGAATCGATGGCATGTTGACTCGTTTTTAGGATAGTCAAGGTACATTGCAGTTATACCATTTTTTGGTGACTAGATTTAGAATCCATGGGTTAGTCTTTTGTCTTAAATCGATGCTTCGACTTGAACACATGCCTACAAGGGTAATTTACCAAACTAATAAGCAAGGATAACAACCATCTGTTGTATAAAAAGCACTGGATTGTATTAGAATTCTCTACTTCGGGTGTTAGATAAACTTCTATTACTATTTCCTGATAGTGACATAAGTTTTTATGCATACCCGGAATCAGGTTACTCGGAAAACTAAACACTAAAGGATGACCAAGTGAAAACAGTTTCCAGTTCCTAGTGAGGACTCATCTAATAGATATTATACACAAAAGATCTTCGTCATAAGCCTATCCAAAAATTGTGGTCCACTGAGTTCAGATAATGGAAATCGTATTCGTTGTTTGGTAACCAATGTAACTGCGCGCTCTCACCCTACGGATGCAGATGGCTAACTAGAAATTAAATATAATCATAACTTTTCAATGGTTTCAAGAGAATTTACATAATTGATAATGATTAATAATATGAAATATGAGAGTAGTTTCATCGAAGTTTGCAATCCACGATGACTTAAAATGATACTCCTACTGCAATACAATTTACTTAAAACCAAGAAATTGAAATAAAAGTTAGAATCTTCCTAACTCCCTTTTGACATTACTTCTAAAAAATTATACATTTCAGTATTATTAAAAGTAAGTTTCCATAAAGACTGTTATCGGTTGAAGAATCACAGAATACAACATGAGATCTCAGACAAATGTTCGCATTATTCTGCAGATGATCAGCAGCATCCTGTATAACAAGTCCCTTGAATACCCTATGCTGTGAACTGGATTAACACGACATTCACGAAGTTGTTATGTTGTTGAATAAGCTACTTTACATAGAAAAAAAACCCAAATAACAGGAGAAAATCTAGAACTTAGATACATGCTATTGATAATTCATGAATTATGATGAAACAGCTTGACAGGAATTTCAGGTTTTTATTGTTAATAAATTGTTAGGAATATTATATTCAAATCAAATGCTATGAAATAAGAAAGGGTATTTATTCAAAAAGCATCCCAAACGCACTCTTTAGTGCTGACAAAGTCACGATCCCCTTCAGTAGGCAGCTCATCAGTCAATATTGGACGGTTAGATCCGCCACCGAGTTTTTCTGCAGCAGGTTGTTGTTCAATTTTGAAGATACGAAATTGTAAAGCCACTACAACAAACTGAAAGAAGTCCGCTAGATAAAAAGAAAAGAAAATACCAATAAAGTGATAAGTTACGGAAGCATTTACTCATTTAGGAGCTTTGAATGTACCTACATTAAGATAGCAGGATGACTATCACTGTAAATATGCATAATACTTTATAACAGTATAATATCCACGCCAATGAAATGATAAATCATCCAGGTAATATAGTTAAAAAACTATCAGGCAACAATAACAACCGAGGAAAAGCTATTCAATGACAGAAATTTTTGTTACTGAGATAAATCTTCCCTTTCAGCCTGTATACACCTAGCTAACTGTCAGGTATGATGACTAACTAGATAACTTACTAATTGTCGATTAGTGTAACAAGTAGTCGTAGACAAACAACGGTGACATCAAACATACTTTGATAGAGAACAATTGAAGATAGAGAACAGAGAGATTTTGCGACACAACCCTACTGAAAATAAACTTGAAATGTGGAACAGAATAGGTTGAAAAAATGTCAATAAAGAAAACAATCTGAACTGGGCATCCAGTCAAACGAATGAACTTAGATACTGTAGGCGAACTGATTGTATTTGCAAAGATAACACAGTAGATATCAGTGAGTACAGAAAGTAGAAGTAGCTGTAACCAAGTAACATAACACCTAGTACACCTATATATACCATGCTTGCAAGGGTAAGGACAGAGAGCTATCGATTTCGGTTCTCTGAATTTTACACAACTGTCATGTGCATAATGTAAGTAAGACATACTATTTACTACGACCTCAGTAAGAAGTTCTGCGTTGGCCACTATACATACTTCTAATCATTTGTTCCTATTACCAACATTAAAATATAATCCGAACTATGACTTTTCAAATCAAGAATATTTGTGCAGCTCACATTTCGATTTAAGAAAAAAGAACGGTAGAGAACCCTAAATAGAATGGTTGCCATATGAAGTTCTAAGGATGGCTGAAATGTAAACTTAAAAAGAAGTGTCTGTAGACAGTAAAGAAAACGATTATATCAGCATTAAAACGAGATGCAGTTGAAGAATCACTGACACTGAATACCGGTGAAAAACTTTCTCCGCCGCAATCTTAAGAGTGAAATTTACTACTCCCTAAATGATCCAGTTGAAGAATAGGTTACTGAATCAGGTCCCTTTCAAAAGAACCAATATCAAGAAACCAACAATTAAAATTAATGCCCAGTGTCTGCTAGTGACTCTCTTCGAGATAGATTTCTCAAGGTTTCACCTGTAGGGTTAACCAAGTCAAGAGTGAAAACGGTTCCTCATCGATGAAGGTGGATGATGGTCATGCTGTATCAAAGAATTGAAAACATGAACCATTGAATCTCAACTCAGTGACTTGGCTTAATGATAATCGCGGTTGCCGCAAGAATTAGTGGCTCTGAGCTCAATCCCACACGAGGTTGACGGTGAGTGCTATTAAGGGGTCGCATACTGGAATGAAGCAGTTGTTCACAGTGCTTCCATGTCTCCCAAAGTTCTCCAACTGATTTCAATCGATGGTGAAATACACATATATCATGTCTGTTTAACTGCTATTCACTGTCCCCCATATTTTGTGTACTGGATGCCAAAGAACGTACCAGAATCAACGCACATGAACAATTAGTAAACATGAATTAAAAAACAGAATGGATTTTAATGAATAAAACCTACATCTTGAGATAAGTAAACTTTGTTGCAAACTGTTTTCTAGGGTAGCTACTCTCTACCCGTCTGGCTTATATAGAATGTATGTTATTGTTGCTAAGATGGAGAACAAAAGCTTACGGGTCGATAATATTCAAAACCATCTTAGTGTAACTATGAATGATTTAAAAACAAAAAACGTGCAACAAAACTGTATACCAGTAAGCTTATAAGCAGACGGCACACCAAATTCGCTGGGTAAATATAACCATTGAAGAAGATTGTTGACTTCTACTGACTCTGTATACCATGGGTATTCTGAAAGGAAAAGCATTGAAAATAAAAATGCAATACAGTCATTGAAGATAATGCTAAATACTCTCTACAAATAATTTGACAGAGCCTAACCAACTTCGAAACTGTAGCTGATACTCAATTTCATACAAATGAGTCACGGGCTCCAAACACACTACACACCGAGCTTAGAGAAGTCAAGTATACCATAGGGACCCATATAACAAGTATAACTCAAATCTTAGTTTAAACCATTGCAAGTGATTACCACTTTTCAATTAAACATGTAATGTATAATCCCAAATAACGATCATGCAACCTTACAAAGACATCTAAACTGTAGAACAAACGGAATACAATATTGTAGACATTTAGGTTGGTTTTAAAACCATAACCGTTCCATGTAGGAAGCAAATACAAAGGAGTGATTTAAACTTTTACACACACCACTATGAAACAAACAGTTTACGGACACACAAACTATAGGTGCTACATACATTCTTCGAAGACCGTAAGTATTGACATTGGTTGAGTTATTGAAAAAAAGTATCCAAAATCATCTCGATGTAACTCAACTGTTAATTTGTAAAGATTGGTTGACTTAAATGTAGTTTTTATTACAAAATGACATCAGTTGAAGAATCGGAGAGCACTGGAAAACTATTCTTTCCCAGTTTGGGAATCCGCAACAGTCTACACCGATTACCCCAAAGGTAATTGGGACCAGAACACTCAGGTCTCACGGCGAGCATATCTCTACTAAGCCACTGGGCCTAAATTCAACGATCCATTGTTTTCAACTGATGTCAATTCGTAATAAAGACTACTTACAACATTAGTTAGTTGGAGGTAATCTGCAGGAAATCCTGGATCTAAGTTTCAAGTTTGTTGGAGCTCGTCAGCAAGGTGTATTTGAAACCTAGAAGGAACTGATGACATATCCGAGATTTGAACCAGTGTCACCTAGTGTTACTGCTAAACCCGAATAGTTTAGTGGCAAACGTCGCTGAGTGAAGCACATAACTTCCGACATGATAGAAATTCGAAGGTAAAGTCGTGTTATTGGGTGGAAATAGATGAAGGGGAAGCAAGATACTCTTCTAAAATGACGAACATTTCCAGTTACGGTATCTTCTCACTGCGGTCAACTATACAAAATATGCATTCTATCATGTCTAACGGCTATTTGTGATCCACAGTGAAATGAAACATGATCAACCTCAAATAGATGCTCACTTGGCTACATTATCTGCCAAGTTCTTTAAGGAAATATAAAAATGAACGACGTCAGTAGCTATGCAACTATCTCAGCGGTTCCAGATACAGATAAATACCTATTAGTCAACACTTACCTTGTCGCCATCTTCACTATTGCTTTCAATTATCAACAATATGCTCCCTATTTTTTCCTTAACTTCCACTTGTTCTTCAACCACCATGGACGATTTGAGTCAATGAAATACCAGCTGTCTAAAACTACATTTCGAACCACACAACGAAGCTTTAAACGTGTACCTTTTATGTTAAATCAGAAAACAGACTTCACTAACTGAGATTTGGGCGTTCCAGAATATGGGTAGTTGCCGCTTTCTTAAATCCACAATGAATCTTGTAGCAACATTTGTCATTGAACAGAACGTTTGGGAAGTATATCACTTTACTGAGGGATCACTGCTCGAAAACTAATATCAGTGGTAGGGCTTATGGTACGCTATACTCTATATCAAATAAGTCACGTGTTGTACTTCAGAATATCCGTTTCTCCATTTCCACTCAATTTAGTAAAACATGTAAGTAGGTATGATTTAAGTATGGATTAATCTGCTTTTTCACCTCCTTAAGAAATACAAACTGGACGAATCAATCTTTAGCAGGAAAATAATTTTTTGTTACATTTATTATGATTACACAAATTAGAATTCTGCTTTCTAAATCAGATTACTAGCAATAGAAAAGTAAAACTTACTAACACATAGACCAGGTGGTAGACCAAGGCAACAACCATACTGGATGGGAATGAGTACGGCTAGAATTACCATATAAGAGACCCATAAACGTGCACATAATCGTCGTGGAGAAAACAAAAACACCAACATCAGCAACAAGTATAGTACACTGAACGCATCCACACGTGAACAAGCGGTAACAACGGTGACACAATGACAAAGCTGTGTAAATAAATAAGAAGCCAAAAAGAAACATTCACTATTCGAAGAAAACAAATAGTTATGCAGATACATGAAGAGTAAAAAGATAGAAAGAAGTAGGGAAAACGCAATCCATTAACACTTATACTTCATTGTCAGTATTCGCAGGTTAATAATAACAATGTTTATTACTATAAAGGTAACGCAAAAGATTATCGATCCATGGTAGTAATCAAAAATGAAAAGCGACGCAACTCAACTCAGTTCAGCTATCGACTGAAATGGCTTGGACATGTACTGAGCATGCCAAATCACTGGCTACCTCGACGTGCCGTGCTAGGGGAGATTGTATTAGGTTGGAAGAACGTTAAGAGCGGCCACACCAAGACCTGGTACTAATCGATGAAGTATCATACTGTTGGTCTGAATCGTATGTGGAGATGCAGACTGTCTGGTTGGGGCCAACGAGATAAAAAAATCAGTGACTGAGGACTCTTGATGATACAATGGCACAGATGTATTCACTTCTTAACATCTTCTAAAGCTTGAATATTAACAGTAACCATTATCTTTAGATTGTTTATTCTCCCACACTACTGTATCTACTTTGATATATCACTCCTTTTCTACCCACCTGTTCTTTATGTACTACCGTGAAGTGTGGCAACCTCAACCTATGCACCTGTGTGAGAGCCTCTACACTTATTATGTAAGTTTCAGTCAAGATATTATTCGGCCGTACAAGTGGGAGTAAATAGAAAGGAGATTGTACCAAATACTTATTGCTTGAAAGTAGAAGGTTTGAGTCAGGGAGATACTCTTCAACCAATGAGATGAAATCACGAAACACTAGATAAAAGCTGTATGAAATATTTCGACTTTTATTGATTGTAAAAAAAGGAGGAAAAACTCTCATGGCTGCCATAATGAAACCAGAGCTCACACACAATCTGGATTGCACACAACAAGTTCATGAGTGAGTTAATAAACGCCGTTATACTTCAATAAAGAATAAAAAGATTAAATATTAACAGACCTTCCTTGACTTTGCAGTGAAAAAGATGCCCAGTAAAGTGCTGAAATATTTTCAAATAGGAACCAGTGTTCAGAAAAATTAATATCTAATTGTCTAAGCCTAGCGCACAACACGTCTTCAAGACCGGAAGGACAGTAGATTAGATAGATGCTGGAATGTTAGGAATCAATGGTTATAGACTTCCAGTGACAGATAAAAATTCACCACAATGATGCAAATCTATTCATTTTTTATCATCCTTGAAATTTTGAACAGTTATTAGTCATCGCTCATTAACTCTGCTTCTTATATCTTTCTTTTATTTAACGCCATACTACTTCTCTGCATTTAAATTTTGTGATAAAAACTAAACCAAACTCTCTCGACAACCACGTGCACATCCATTTACAAGGTAATCAACCGTGCCAGCTATGTGTGAGCTAATTATACTGCCTGCCTACCCAAGCCTCAACAAATGGAGAAGGATTCCAACCTGTAACCAAATGGCTGAAAATAGATATCTAGACCAGGGAGTTAATGACCCCCTCGTACATTTTTTTTAAGTTTAGCAAATGGAAATGAGGCAACTGTGGGCAGGGTTCTAGGTTGATCTACCTATCAGTTTGTGTACCAAAAAGCAGTAGTTGTTACCTAAACGCTACTCACACACACAGATAGTTTATAACAAAATCTAACATAAATTGACCAGTATTACGAAGTATTTACCTCTAGACCAAATTTATAGAATCCATAGTTAAAGGCGAATTTGACCACATTCAATAAATCATAACCCATGGAATTGATTGTAACACCAGGAAATACAATTCCTTCATCTGGACGAGTATTTCGATCACTGTTATAAAACTGACGTTGTCTGTATGTTATAGCATGCCAAATTACACTGACAACCATTAATGCACCATACGGCTAGAAGAAAGGTATTCGTGGTTAAAAAAAAACCATCAGATATATGAGACTGAAAGTAAATCTGAACTGTATATAACCTATAAAATGACAAAATTTATAGTTTTCATTTCAAACTGGAATATTTCAGGAGTTAGTCATTTTGTTTCGAGTTACGAGTACAATATTTAGGCATAGGACCATCACAGAAGCTGAAGTGAATGCGATGTTTAAATTCATAAAAAGAAGTATAAATTGCTCAAGCAACAATATCTAGTGTACCGATTGAAGTTTAACAATCAAGTTTTCAATGTTATTACTATGTTAAGTGATGTAATTATCGCAGTGCATTTTATATAGCCATAGTCAATCGGCAAGAAGTTCTTTTGTTGGCAGTCACAAGCAGGGCCTATCCGCAAACTAGGGAAAACTAAAGTCCTCTCTAAAATTCGAGCCTATCAAAGAACTTTCCGAGAACTAAAATCCAAACTCAGAAAGAACTATCAAGCATATTTACTCAAGTTTTCTGCAGCATGTTTCATCAATTTTTAGAGTGATATGCGGCATATGCGGAAGATCAATGAAGATACATAATACAATGACAATTGTAAGAAGATAAATAAAAATGAGTTGATAATGTTACGACTTCATGAGCGCCAGAGACAGCATTAAACTACATACCACATTTAATATATGAAGGTGAATAATAATATTCCGCGGCCCAAAGATCAGGGGAAAGGGGGTTGGATCCAGGACGTGCTGACAGAGTCAATTATCAAAGTGACAGAATCGAAGTGCGCAAAACACGTATAACTAGACAGAACCCTTTACTTCGCTGAATGGAAATTGTAAAATTGGTTTATAATCACTAAACTAATAGACGACAATGAACGCATAGCATTTTCACCAAAAGTATTACCAACCTACAGTATTTGTAATAAACTATATTGTTTTAATATGGAAGGAAATGAAATGACTATTTTATCTACTGCAGTGGATTATCTGTAGTTTATTATGGCTTAGCAAAAGCTTGTTCAGTAACTCACCAACTTTTGAATTTGGATATCGTAGAAAAAAGTATACAAATAATGAATTAAGTCCGCTACAGAGCTTTATCCAAAAATAAATTCATTTCTTAACGGAACACGTAGTCAACTCAGGAGTCAAGCGAACGAATTCGATAGTGCTAACGTATTCCAAACACTAACGACACTCCGTATTAAAAGATTTAGTCACAATTTTCCATCAAAAAGATAAAGTAGTACTTATTTAGGCGTACATAAACCAAGAATTTCTTTTTCCAAAAACCATTGGTACACATTACATGTCTGAAAACATATTACATATTTACCACGTACAAACACTTAAACTTAGACTGCTTGCTACATACGTAACGAACACAAGCTCATACACTAGAGTGGGGAACTCATCTATTGTGTAATGACAATAGTGTGACTAAACTGTTTAAAATATATTCAATGCATGATCGTTTAGTGCCAGCGATTCTCGAAAACTTTGATAAACTTTCAAAATTATTCCTCCCATAAAGAACATTCATTAATGAACCTGTGTACCAAATCACTAGATTTTTGTGCTGTTATTCATAAGGCAGCAATTCAAATGAACAATATACATTCTTGAATAATTATAACACATTTCAGCAACTATGTACGGATTCACGTACTACGTTGTGAGATAAACCGGCTGCGTGAAAGCTAGTTATTGTCTAGTCGACCGAACGTGTGATTGGAGCTCTTATCATTTATGATATATATATATATATATATATATATATATATATATATATATATATATGAATGATAGAAATCAAAACTGGCTATGAGAGAGGTGTATCCTGCTTTTCTTCGTTAACAGTTAAGATGCTCTCTAACACAAGAGAAATTTGTCACTTTTGTATATTTTGAAACCTCTATTCTGATGATTTCCTCGATGCATTGTGGTGAAATACGACATCAAATAATGCGTTATGATATGGCTAATCAGTGTTAACATATCCACGTACACAACATCAACCTCTCCTCAGTAGTTAGTGCAGGGTTCGAATAAGTAACGCGCAAGTTTGAGGTCAAATGCTTAACAAATCGACCAAAGTTACAAACTTCACTTCAAACCATACACCAAAAATCACACTACAGAACGACTGAAAAAACAAAACATATTTTTGTATACATTCCCGCTAAAAACTAAGCGCAATAATGAGCACGTGATGCATTTAAGGTTTTCTAAAGTTGTGCTCTTATACTCTTGATCATTCATGAGAACTTATTCAGGTGACCTCTCATACACCATATTTTTGCTAGGATAAACCACAACTTCCAAACACTCTCTTTCAAATCTTACAACCTAGGATCCTGATAACAATGTCTCGAAAGCATATTGTCTTTTCCACAAACCTTATAACTCCCATCTAGTTGTCATTCAGATTCAGATTTTCCAAGTCATTTACAAAATAACTGCGCTTAAAACTTTTCGTTATAAATTAATGCATACATTCATAGACCTCTCAGTTTACCATTAAAAGCCTTAACAAGTACTGTAGAATTCACAGGTTTTCGAAGTGCACAACTTTGCCAACTTCTAAGCAATGAAATTATACTGCACTTTTGATCAACAACAATTATGAGTATACATAGTCATACTATGCATGTTGCACCGACTTGGTTACTAGATTCGAACAGTACAGTACAGTACAGTACAGTACACAGGGTTATTGACAGTCATTAAACTGTAATAAACTTATAAGCTTATTCATTCCGAAACGAAACTTATTGACCTGACTTTTATTCTCAAACTGTCTCACAGATATTCTTATTTTTGCACAGTTTGGTCCATTGCACTGCAGCAAAACTACAGTCGCATCATTAGAAATGTTTGTATGCAAAGTAATTTTGCTTCACCAGTTTCTACCATTTCCCTACAAAAGTTTTGACTCGGTTTACTTTATCTGATATGAAAAATACAGTAGCATTCACGCTGAAACCAATGGAATTCACTGATGGCATACTTCTTCCGTGTTTAGCATCTGAATGTCTAAGCATCTCATCTTATTACCGAGACTGAAGTTGAGCAATTTGTTCACAAACTTTTAGTTTGTACTAATGCCTACACCATTGGGCTACATTCACACCAAAGGCAGTACACTTGGTTCCACTTTGCTGGATTTGCTTCAAGCTGCTGATCTTTTTTGAAGCTCCTAATAATGTTTTGATTTCTGAAGCTATTAGATCTGGTAGCTTTTCTCCGAAGGATATCAAGTCCTAACACAGTTGCGAGGGCGGCTGATAATTTCCAAAATTTCACACCGTGGAAGGCTATTTTATTCTCAGGCTACTTGAAAAAGAACAGTTAGTGAGTGGCTGCAGAGCCCGTAGGACCGGCCAGTTTCGAATCCGACTATGAACCCAAATCAGTCACACTCCTATGCCAGCGGCTAGAAGGGAATGTGCTAATTCAAGGGTCAACCTTTTCTACCCTCTACTCCTCCTCTAATAGGAAAGGTAGTGTCAACGTAGCATCAAAGGAAACACCTTATTGTTCTGATATCTTATCCGGTCAGCAGCATGGTTTCTCGTTCAGACGCCTATCGTAGCGTAGTAATTTACAACAAGACACTAACCTTTCTAGTATGTTAGAACCTCGAGGGAACATAAGTCGGGTATATAAGCAGTAATCTTGTCATGTCAATGAATTTTTTACGCTATAATAATCTCGTATAAAACGACATATATTGTAAAAAAAAAAAAATGAACTACACACTGACAGAATATTCAAATTCAGACACACCAAACAGCAGTCTTAATAATCTGAATGTTTCACAGAACACTAAGTGTACAAACTCCCTCCAAAGATGTTTGCAAAAATGCATAAATTGAGTTCACGTCAAAAAAGCAACTTAAGTGGATTTCTACGAATGAAAAGCTGAAGCCAACAGTAAATACTGTTGAAGAAAAGTGTTTTGAAGAGAGCCATTTCGACACATGTAGTGTAAAATGCGAACTCCCATGGTGAAGAGTCAATTAACTTACTGACCATCCTCAAAAGTATAGTTCCACTAGCAGTTCACATGACGAGAACGTATATGGCAGCGAATTCAAAAACACTTGAATCATACGTTTCAAGGTTGTGCAATTTAAAACACGAAATGTGCATACTTTACTCATTAGTCGCAATGAAATGAACAATTATTAAACTCGCAAAACTGTATGCAACCGAAATAATCCAGATCGTGTAAGCAACTCACCAAAGTTACCCTGATAGTCCACTGCAAACAGTTTATAAAATAATTTGTTTTTGCTTAAAAAAAGCATTTTAACGGAAAAAAGTACCAATAACGTCAGTCTTTGATACTCACCATGATATATTGCCCGAAATTTTCGACCTTCTTAAGGCCAATCCATGCAGTTAGGTCCCAAGCAGTTGCGTTATCATACTTACATTTTCGAAAAACAGAAAAGTTGCGATTAATTGCATAAAATAACAGTTTTCATTCACCATTGCCAAAAATGACATTCTCTATTTAAAAAAACTACAAAATAAAACATACAAGGAGACCTAATCCTTAAGATGTACATAACTCATGACGGATATTATTCATTCCCAAAAACGGCAGCTTTCAACAATGACCAATCCCCTCAGAGGGAAAATGCTCTGACAACTATTCCATGCAAATAGTACCCTTTTGATATCATTTCAGAATATTGTTTGGAAAAGAAGACTCTACCTAGTGAGAAACTTACATACAAAAATTTGATATGCTGACTACCTTGGAGAGAACGTTATTCAAATAAGCTTTGAAGCCACTTCAAAAATTAAACCCCACAAACAAGTTACTATTGGGATAATGTTGCCATAAGTGGGATGAACAAAAGAGATGAGCTTAACAATACTTTCCTGAAAGTCAAATTAATTTTTTTATACAAGACCCAACCAATCGAAAATTGACATATTTAACTCATATCATCTTGAAGTATATCGACGAATCAGTATGAACGTGTCATTGTAGATACAATGAGTGGTAGAAAAAATGTTTGTAGACCATACACATTTTTGAAAGCTGAGCTGTTGAATACCAATCCTCAGGAGCTGCAGCTTCAGTGACAAAGAAGTCGTCTTTGAAGCAAGTAAGGTCACCTGTATTTCCTCTACGCTAAAAGTAGGTCAATATCGAAGATGCGAAAATCTATACAGTGATTCGTAATAGTTGCGTTCCTAATACAGTAAAGGTATACAACTTACCTTTTTTCTAAATTGGAACAGACTGAAGAAAATTAATTGGATCAAAGAAATTATCAAAAAAGTATTTAATAGTGAAATACCGAAAAATGAATGCCTACCTTTAATGAACAGGACGAAGATAAGTTCAGATTAACAGCATTTAACTGAAAGGTCATTTTGCAAAGTATTTGGACACTAGTCCATATAAAGACAACTGTCGCCATAAATCCATGTAAATATGGGAACGGAAAACAGATTACTAGAAATATAAGAGAAATAATATTTGCCGCAGAAACCTATTTTAAAATAATAAAACCAAAACGAAATCCTATTAGAGACATATCATATTAACGAAAACGATTAGTCAGGAAGCCGAACATAGTGTTTACAAAGGTATGGAATTAAGTCCCTTTCTTAAAAATAACGTAGTGTACGTGAACACAATCAGGACAACAGTTTTTACCAGTTACGCCATAAATATCGGGTACCCCAGGCTTTGCACATTGCAAAACTCATGGATACAATGACCAAATTCCTACCCTTTTGGTTTTAAACATTGTCAAAAATAATTAGGGTTAAGAATCGCACTTCTCGACACTACGAATAAATTTCGGTAAAGAGTCATCTTTTAGTTTATTAGCATCATATGAGCCTCATACAAAAACACCAAAAAAACTCAGAAGGCATGACCAACCTCTTCTATTGTTCCAAATTAGTAGTGAGGCAGAGCATGAATTTATAGTTTCACAAGTTAGTTTTAACTTTGTTATCGATGGTATTCTTCAAATATCGATTGAGCGATTATGTAGACTGGTTGCCTATTGCAGAAAATTTCCCATCTTAAGTGTGCAAATGGTATTTCTTTATTATACCACAAAAAAACACGCTATTCAAACTGCACTCAGCTACATGTTGACTATTGTCTATAATTCTGTTATGTGATTCGTACTATGACATGTGAAGTACTTCTGGTAAAATTATGTACCACCCCTGGTTGTTGTTACAGTCAAGAAGACAAATCACTGAATAAATGATTACTTGGTGTCATAGTGTTAGTGAGTGATGACTGCTCAAGGATTTATATTAGAAGACAAGATGACCGATATATCCTTCTTTAGCGAACAAAGATACTCACTTATATACAATAAAAGTGACAAAATGTGCATGACAAAAAGTCATTTTACTAATACTCAATTGAGAAGGAACAGTATCTGTAAACCAGTTAACTCCTAACGGATACAGCCTGAAAACAATCAGGAGGACTTCGAAGTGTGATCTCGACAGTGATCTGTTGGAAATAGCCAGAGGTTTTACGTCTGGGAGGTAGTATCTGTTGGCAGGAATGTCATATACAAAATCTCTGACCATACAACTGAGGCTGAATATGACAACTTAAGTGACTTTTCAGGCCACTGTTACGCCTAATCAACGAAAAAGATTAAAGGTGCAAAGCTCGAAGCACCTATGCTCAATATCTGTGAGGCCTGGATACTGCAACCTGAGGATCTTTGACAATCGCCCTAGGACTACTCTAGTCTAGCGCCAAAACCATGTAAGTGCATACTTAAATAGGATCAGAAATGTTATTCGAAAAGTGAAGTCACCTACAAACCCAGAAGCCTGTCAAGTAGACAGGTCTTGCGTACCTTGTTCAAACAGCTACTATTACCAGAAGAGACTAGATGGAAAAGACGTGCTTTACTAATGTTGAAACGTCATTTGTTTTGGGTTAGCAACTATTAGAGCATAAAAGTTCAAAAACGGAATCGTAGAAAACATTTAACTCAGTGTTTTGGCACATAGCCTAAGCCTTTATAGTGACAATGCTGTGATCTCTGAATGTTTTCCGTTCCTGAAAAGAAATGCATGAGAAAAGAGAACTTTTGAATCTATTTTTGTATGGTTCTCTCTTCTTTTCTGATCACCCTGTTATTCTATATTTCTCCATCTTCATGTGAACACAAGGCTGTTATGTTACTTTCTGTGATTTATTTCTTGATTGCAAAAAGTTATTTACATTATTATTACTACGATTAGTATGTAACAACAAGCGTCGTATTGTAAGTTACAATATGCATAAAAATTCAGAGGATATTTATAGCACAAAACTTACTTCATTTGTACACGTCAGAATTATAACTAATCCCACTATTTTGATCCAATGTATTTCAAGGAAACGCCAGCAATGATTTGTAAGGCTGACAGCCCAGCAGTACAATTTTGAGACAACAATTTGGAATGCTGAGTTCACATCTTCAATGAAATCTAAACCAAGTCATGACAATACGAGTAAATAGATGATGCAATGAAACACTGCCAAGAAATAGAAATAAAAACTTCTTAATGACTAAGAAATATTCTCCTAGATACATCATACAAGTAGCTGTCATTTTTGAAAGTTTCTACAGATTCATGAACTGACATTACGTCTTGAGGTCATGTGATCTTTCAGACAACCGTAAAAGTTTCTGTACTTGGACCTGTGCACTCGATACCAGTTTCATCTACTGACTATTTACGATTTACTAGTCTCAATATTCCAAAGGCCTAGAGGGAAAAACACCTACTTTTGTCCTCTTCGCCCACAATGTCCCAACTACAGAGTATAGAGAAGTGCACAGTTCAACCTTAATTTAATTCGAAGACAAATAAAAGGAATTTGATCAATTAGGAACATACTACAAGTATGCAATAACAATTTGATACCCTTAGAAAGATAGCTTTAATCACAAACAGAATGAAAATAACAATTGTGCGATATTTATTCCATCTGCAATTGAATTTTACTGCGAAAGCTTCATAAAGGTCAGTATTCAGTATGAATCACTCCTCCGGCCTACTTACCAAACAACAGTTCAGAGAACAACAACTATTCCAGGACGCTAGGATATGAACTTTCAAACAAATGAAAAAACAAAGAATGTTAGGAAAAGCTGAAAACTCAATGCAACTACAACGGTGTTTTTTTTGCTTCAAACCTCCACTCAAAAAATAAATAAACACAAACAAAATAAAACGAAAACAATGAGTCACGTGAGAGTCCAGATATCTGAAGTAGTACTATTTTTAGACCTATCAACGTCAAAAAATAGTGTTGAACCACCTAAAAAATAAGCACTGCCACATAACAAGTAAACGTAAGCCTACGAGAGATGACCAAATAAATCCATAAAAATAAATACCTTCAACAAAATGAATCCAGATTTCACCGAATACACCAATGTTTGTAAGAAAGTCATAGTCATGCAAGTAGCACTTCTCAAATTTGTTGGGAAAAATTTGTAAGATAACTTGAACTGCCGTTATTATTATCATTATATTATTATTATTACCGTTATTATTATTACTATTATTATTAACCTCGCCTGGCTAACTAGTTCACTAGTTACTAGCCGGTCCTAAGCCCGGGTAAAGAGGGAAGATTCGGCATAGGACTACGAACCCTACCCGTAAAACAAGTCCAACCGCTAAAAAACTTCAAAGCACAAACAAAATATAAAAATTAAAACAAAATTATTCCTCGCTGGAATCCGAGAGGCGAAATGACGCCGGTTGGTGAAAGCCTTCGGGAAGCCAATTGGCTAATATTTCTTCTCTCAATGAAAGCGAAAGTAAAAGTGGGGACATGGAATGTCCGCACAGTGTTTGAACCCACCAAGGCTGCCCAGATTCCAAACGAGAGGAGAAGGTATCTCATTAAAAGGTTAGGAATTTGCGAAAGCAGATGGAATGGAAGTCGACTCTCCAAACTGTCAACCGCAGAGTCAATTATCTACTCGGATATTGTCACCCAGAAGACAACCCCGGTCGAGCACACTAAGTTTTCGAGTGGCTGTCATGATGTTCCCAAGAGCATCGAAGGTTCTCATACAGTGCGAACCAATCTCCTCCACGATCAAGACCATGACAACAAGATTCAAATCAAAAGGAAAGAAAGTCACAATCATACAATGATACGCTACGCACCTACAAATAATGCAGATGAAGAGCAGAAGTAGGAATTCTACAGACAACTTCAATCAACACTGGACAAGACCCCATCTCAGTTGGCGACATCAAAATTCTAATGGGTGGGATGACATGAATGCCAGCCACACTGGGAGCAGACAACACAGGAAGAGAACTAACCATGGGTCGAGAAGTGCTAGGTGGAATGAACGAGAATGGAGAATTGTTTGCAGATTTCTGTGCATTCAACGATTTAGTGATTGGAGTCAGGCACTGTGTTCAAGCAAAAGGATATCCACAAAGCGACATGGAGTTGATTTCACCAGACACTAGGACACAATAAGAATCAGATCGACTTTATCTCCAAGTGAAGAAAGTGGAGACGCAGCCTACCTGATACTAGGTCAAGAAGGGGAGCAGATGTAAGCTCAGACCACTACCTAGTGCAAGGAACCTACTTTCGAAATCAAGTTGAAAGCCTTCAAGGAAGCTGGTGATAGACCACAGCTCAAGTTCAACACCCAGAAACTGAAGGACGAAACTACAAAGGACATCTTAACGTCAGCCAGCCATCAAGACAAAATGGGAGATATCGATCAACATCCCTGAAGAAATCTATGTGGATGAACACTGGAACTCTTTGAAAGCTATGTGGAAGGAAACCTACACAGCCGTATTAGGAAGGAAGAAGAAAGAAGATCAGGAATGGATCTCGATGGACACGTTGAAGCTGATACAGGAGAGGATGATGGTGAAGCAGAAGATGAACAAGTGCAAGGATGAACGACGAGAAGAGGAACTGAGTACAATGCATAAAACACTACACTAGACAAAAAAGTGAAGAGTGCACGCAGCGACAAAAGACACTTCTACGAAACACTGGCAAGTGAAGCAGAATAGGCTGCTGGTAGGAGAGGCAGAGAGAGGTTATGACAACATTGTATCAAATAACCAGGTTCCTATCTGGGAGGGAAGAGATCAACACAGATGAAACCAATAAAAGATGAAGGAAATCTAATTACCAAAGAGGAGAAACAAAGGAAACGATGGGCCGACCACTTCAAAAAGCTCTTGAATCGACCACCACCACTACCTGCACTTCGTCCAGAAATACCACCAGCACCCCGGCCATAGAACTACCAGTGAACACAAATCCTCCAACAAAGGTCGAAGTCCTGAGCGCCATATGGCTACTGAAGTGCGGGGAAGTTGCAGGACAAGATGGGATACCGCCAGAAGCACTGAGAACAGACACAGAGACAACAGCGGACATGCTCACACCACTATTGCAGAAGGTCTGGAAGGAAGCGAAGGTACCTGGCTAGTGATTGGAAGAAGGGTTACCTTGTCAAACTCCCGAAGAAGAAAGACCTCAGTGTTTGCAAGAACTGGCGCGGAATCACTCTCCTGTCCACCCACAGCAAGCGAAATATTAGGCCGCATCATCCTGGAGAGACTAAAGGATGCACTGGATTCAAAACTACGACCAGAACAGGTTGGCTGGCTGGATTCAGGAAGTACAAATCATGTGCAGACCAAATTGCAACGCTTTGCATCATCATAGAACAGAGCATAGAATGGCAATCAGCTCTCTACCTCAACTTCATCGACTTTGAGAAGGCCTTTGACAGCGTCGACCGAGAAGTAATTTGGAAACTGCTTCAATACTACGGAGTACCACAAACCTTTATCAGCCTCATTCAACAACTACATGAAGACGCCACATGCCAAGTAATTCACAATGGGAATCTCAGTGATGCTCTTGAAGTGAAGACAGGAGTGACTTAAGGCTGTCTACTATCACCTATGATATTCCTGATTGTTGTGGACTGGATCATGCAACAAACAGTGAGGAGCGAGAAGAGGAGGATACAATGGCTGGACCGGGCAAAAGAACCTAGAAGATATGGATTTCACCCATGACTTATGTCTAATGTCACACAAACGTGAAGATCTACAGGCAAAAACTAACAAGTTAACAGAAGAGGCAGCAAAGATCGGACTTCAAGTGAATATAGAGAAGACAGAGGTGATGAAGATACACAACCAACACCAACACCAACAACAACAACAACAAGCTTCAATATCATCGAAGGAAGTAACCTCCTTCACCTATCTAGGAGGCACTGTTTCTACTACAGGCAACGGCACAGACGAGGATGTCAAAGTCAGAATCGGAAAAGCAAGACAGGCTTTCATTAGCCTGAAACCAGTTTGAAGATCTTCTGCACTGCACTGCACTCAGCATGTGGAACAAGATCCGGATTTTCAACACCAACGTCAAGTCAGTGCTTCTGTATGGCTCAGAGACTTGGCGCGTCACGAAAGACATTTCCAATAAGCTACAGACATTCATCAACAACTGCCTACAATGGCTCGCTACTGAAGATCAGATGGCCAGAAAGAATAAGCAACAAGGAACTCTGGGAACGAACCAACCAAGAACCTATCACTCAGCGAATATGCACTGGAAGGAAATGGAGATGGATTGGGCATACACTGAGGAGGCTAACTGGGGACATTACGCGCCAGGCCAGGTCCTCGAGTGGAACCCAGATGGGAAGTGACGAGTTGGGCGTCCGAGGGTGACATGGAGGAGATCGTGCGAGGAGGAAATGAGAGCTTGTGGGCTGTCGTGGAGCCACGTTCAAATGATTTCAGAGAACAGAGCGCACTGGATACATGCTACTGAAGCCCTATGTTCCATTAGGAACCCAAGGGACAAATAATAAATAAAAATTATTATTATTATTATTATTATTATTATTATTATTATTATTACCATACACTGGATAACTTCGATGTAAATGCTTGATGAAGCAGCGTTTGCACATTGTGTGAAATATATTTGAAACATGACAACACCCTCCCATTTCGGTCAACATATTCTCCTTTAGTTTATAAAAAATCTCACTCCTTCATAATTAAATTTCTGGTGTGATGACTGGGAGATGAACATAACTCAAAATTACTAGACTAGCAAAACACATCCAAATACCTCATTCCGTGCAAATTAAGATCATAACAATTCGTAGTACAGTATAAACCCTCAAACATCTTAGTCTTCATCAAGTGACTTCATTGGGTCACTCACTAGATATGTTTTTGTGACACAACTAACACTAGATATAAATAGGGGCCTAGTTTGAATCACACCTTCTGACAAATCATTGTTATTTATGTAGCAGAGTATTACTGAAGACAAGTAGAAACAAGTCGATAGATACAAAAGTATTCCCGTCTACTAGACGTTTTTAAAAAAGAAAAATCAAGCAAATAAAACTTTCTGAAGAAAACATCCATATTTTAATTCACTTCGTTTTCCCTACTGGTGCGGACAATTTTCAAAACAAGACTAAGCAGAACAGGGATTTCAGTTTCATTGATTCGAAACGATAACTGTGAAGTCTTTTCGATAACCAGACTTAGCAATGAGGTTGCGAACTTCCATCGACTTAAATGACTGGGATATGTGTTACATACGCATAATCACCGTTTTTACCCATGGCAGGATGCGTTAAATATGATTAGTCTGGAAAAAGGTTAAAAGTGGACAGACGAAAACATGGTATCAGTTCATGAAGGCCCTGACTGTTGATCTGAGCTATTTAGGGAAAGGCAGACTTTCAGGTTGGGGACCAAGTGACTATTGCAGCCGACTGTTCAAAACTCCAGGTGATTTGGCTTAGAATCGACCTTAGTGATACATATCCAAACAAGCCTAATATTCGTCGTGGCCTTTATGTTAAATTCCGTTATTTGCTTTATCCCCTTTTCCCATAGCTTTTACGGCTTTTAATTATGCTATTTCCATTACGTCGGCTTTTATCTGGTTGACTCGTACTTGGATGTGCTTATAAGAAGTATGACAACTTGGACTGTTACGCAGTAAAGTAACTATAGGCCCCATGTAGATAATAACTGACTAACTAACTTGCTTCATAATACCACTATTTCAACAAAATAAAAGCAGGTGAAATACCTAACAATCGGGTTTACTTGCAAGTATTTCCTTCCCTAGTGTAACCCTTTTGCACTCCCTTCACAAAGTAGTACTTCTACTTGTGCTTGAAGCTGATACTAATCTATTTGGGTTGTTAACCACAATTACGTATGTTACCGATAAAACGTGTCTTTTATTAGCTCACAACTGATGAGACGGAAAATGGCCACTCCAATAGAATGGAAACATCTTAAGTCCTGTATACACAAACGTAGAATCCTTCTGAATTCTAACTAGTATAATAATGTTATTCTATGATGGGGAGTTCAAAAAGGAAAATTTTTTAATGTGATGTTGAAATGATGGAAATGATCAACAACAGTTTGACTTAAAGACACACTCTGGTAAAAAAAAATCGAAAACTATAAACAGATCTAATAATCCCTAACATTCGATTTAACCTTTACGCAACAACAAATTTAACCTAATCTTTATCCGCTGAATGTGGCACTGCATTTCTTAAGTAGCCTGTTTTAAAGGTAGGTTCACTTGAAGTCCTTAGCACTTCTGAACAATCAGAAAACCCTGAATGTCTATGAAATAAACCACACAAAATAAGAATAAATGATAGTAGTAGTAGTAGCATCGATTTATCTTCACGACTTGGATGAATGGAACTTAACTGCGTCCTAATTACTGGAAACTTGAGACAGACAGAGTTTATAATAAACGCGAAGGATTCTCGTTTAACGTGAAAGCTATGTGAAGTTAACCAACCTTTTAGCATCATTTTTTAAAACGTGTTTAATTTTTTAAACGTTTACCATGAATGCTTTTTTTACCTATAAATGTTTTATTTATTAAGACCGAAAGCAAATAATAATAGTTGATGTTACAGGACTAATACGATCTCTCTAGAGTAAGCTAACCTGAGGAGTCCCACACTAGGACGAAACAGCTGTCCAGTGCTCTTAGGTTTTCAGTGGTTCCCCAACTAATGTCAGTCCATGATCAATACTACCTTAATAATAATTATCAATCACTGATGGCTGTCTAATGGAAAGCTTTACTATATAAGGCTGCGATTAAAATAATGAAGTACTGAAAGCACTGACAACCATTTGTTGCATAAACTTCCAACCTAACCCAATTGATAAATTCATGATGGTGGCCTTAGACATAACTTTTTAAAGTGAAATAACCTAAATGATAAAAATACCCGATGAGAAATTTATGAACGTGACAGTCTAAGGGTATAAAATAAGTGTAACACAACTAGTGTTAATCGACGCTGTAAGAATGAATACCCCTTAGTAAACAGAAACCAGTGGTTGGACAAAAGCTGGTCACAGATCTCCGGTAAGCTGAAAAATTACCTGACAAACAGTTATGTGTTGAATAGGTATTCGTACACAAGCAAAGTCAAATATGAAAATAAAAACTTACTGGACATGGTGCTACTCGGAGAAACAGACATGACTGAATTTTGATCATCGGAAAGGCCAGACCGTGAATAAACGGAACCCTTGGAAACCTGAGGTAATCTGAAATATTATTACGGCAAATAATTTGCCAATATTAGGATTGAAACTATGAAGGTACAGTTAAATAAACAGCTTTCATAAACATCGTTTTCTGTACAGCCATTTGAAGAGTAATGAAAGATCAAACTGCAATTGAGCAAATGAAAGCCCTTGCTCAACCACATTCGTATTGTGGAACAAAGGCAACAAGCATTTGCAGTCACTGAGGCATTTGTACATAAGGCTTCAGAGTGGGGATTAATTTTTCAAAGGAAAATCACCTGAACAAACAATTCTGGAGCATAGTCCTTTCAAGTCTGCAATTTAGTCAAAAAAAATTAATACACAAGGAGATGAGTGGCGTCTGTATGAAAATAAATAGGTTTGACCGAACGTGTATAAGAACATTGGACGATTTCAAATGCGACTGCACTCGATAATGCTATTAAGTAATAATACTGAGTTCAAGTTAAAAACAGCACTGAAAAAAGACAATTTCTGAACAGCAAGAAACTTCCACGGTACAATAAAAATAATCCCAGATTTCCCTTCAGTAAATTGTCATTGAGTGTAATCAGTGATGATATGACCATTCGTTTATACAAATCCACAACATCCAGCCCCTTATGGGAGGTCATGAGACGAAAAGAATCAGTGGTTAAGGACTCTTGATGACACAGTGGCACAGATGTATTCACTCCTCAACATCTCAGTTTGAATATTCACGCTAATCTTTATCTTCAGATTTTGTTTCCCACGCTACTTTGTCTACTTTGCTGTCACTCCTTTTCTATACACCTGTTCTTTTTGCAATACTGTGAAGTGTGGCAACTTGAGGCGATGCACCTGTGTGCGAGATTCTACGTTGATTTTGTAGGTCAGTCAGTCCTCTTGCAGCTAGTCATCGATCCTAGGGATCTTTTAAATACTGTTGTAAACTAACAACTTTGTGAAAGTACTTTACTCCTTCTATACTTTTATATCCTTTTCAAACATCAATTCATATGACAGCACGGAAAGGGACTTATTTCTGACCTGTTATTCATACAAGATGCGACCTTATGCGTACTACATTCATTCGATTATGACTGTACATGTTAACAAGTGCCTTCATTTTAACGCCCCCGATAATTAATTTGCATTAGACAAATATGTGTTTCTAAACAGTACAACATTACATCAAGTAGAAAATATAGCAAATTCATACTGAAAGTTGGCAACAGAGACAGAAAAAAAGGGTATTATATCTCTGTACATGAACTTAGAACCTGCTCTGTGTAAACAGAATTAAAACAACGATCAATTAAAATCTATAACTACCCGAATCAGACTTAACTAAAAATACAACATAGGGTGAAATAGTTAACACAAACAATACAAAAGTTACCGAAAACGATCCAATGCTGAGGCTTCAAGGAATGGTATATGAAAGTAGTGTACTTGTAAAATTATAACGACCAGAAATACTACTGGTGTTAACAGTCGTTCAAAAAGAGCAGCACTTTCAAATGTTTCTAGTCCAAAAGCCTTTAAGCTGAAAGAAAAATAAGTGTGGTTCTTAATTTAATCACATACCACTAGGAATTTTATTTTTTATGACTAACTCATTGCTAAAACTATTGAAATAGCTTAGTGGTAAGGTGCTACTTTAAAAAATAATAGCTAGCCTAAATCCAAGTCGATACAAGGCAGAAACTTACATCTCAGATGAGAGACCCAACTTATGCTGCCAGAAGCTGGGTGACTCGTTGAATTGAAACGTGTAGATACACAATAGCATAGCCATGGAATAAACAACAATAAACCACCAAAAACAGAGCATTTGACGACGCCAGGCAGAATAACTGATCTGAAATTAAAGGTGAATGAGTAGAGAAATCTATCAAAAAGAAGTATTAGGAATAATGAAGCAGCTCATAAATCTACCAACATTTGTGAGTTATGAAAAGAGTTTATAATACTCTTGAACTAACAGTAGTGCTAGAAATTAACAGAGACTTCAGATCTCAAACCTTGTATAGAAATATATCTGATATGAACTGAGTAGTGTTTTGAAGTGGGCTGACTGCAGTCAAAAAAATTGTCTAATGGTCTTGGAGAGACATGTCCACCTTAAGGGCCGCATTCGACGCCAACAGGGGTTTGAGATAACATAGAAAAGTTTTCTTGGTAGGAGGAAAATAACTCTTTAGAACCTGATATCTAGTTGCTATTCAATTGATATTATCACGTGATAAAAAACTGTTTGTACATCTAAAACTAATAAATGAATAATGTACACACAAGTAATTCTTTTCATGACTCCCAAGTGTATGGTGCAAAAGTGAGTATATTCTTCAAGTAGAATTTAGCTCGAACCTTACTACAGCTAAACTTCTCGTCTTAGCCTACAGAAATACCCCATTCTACAACCTTACAAACCCCCATGATGTTTAATAGTGTTAGATGAACCAAAATATCACAAAAAAGCAAGTAAGTAAATGGAAGATAAGTTAGATGCGTTTCATATATATTAAATTAGCAACAAATGAATGCAGCTTGGATGATAGTACAGGATTTCAGCTGTTTTCTTCCCACTTTCCTAGTCCTATTCTCTCGTTAATCACACAGGAACCAAATGACGGGAAAAGTGCGGTTTGAATTACTAATAACTTATTTGGTTGGAGGCAATTGATGGGGTGTTGTTTTGAGGTTGCTTCCACCATGTTCCACAACCGCCATCAACTAACACTTGAGTAGGAGGATAAAGAAAACGCTCAACGTGTCACTAATTACCTCAGCAGATAAAAACACATGAATTAGAATAATAATTTATTCTATAAATCTGCTTTTATTTACTTGGCTTAATTTTATCAACTACCACATATAATTTACCATCTTTATAGAATAGCAGACTGAGTTACATCTGCTACACAAGTGGTCATATCGATCAGTTGTCTAAATACCGTTAGATGAAACCAGGTTGAAGGTTTCAACCACACAGATGTACATTTACTACATCAGGATTATAACTTTGCTTAATTCTGACGAAAGCCAGGGATACTACAAGGCATCAGTGCTAAATTATCACGACACCTGTCTTTCTGCAATCAAACTACCAGTCTTAAATTCCCTTCGTCATTTTCTGGACGTTACTTGATTTGATAAACATGGAAAGGTTTACAAATAGAAGGTACAAGTATACGCTTCACAATAAATTAACAAAATATATATGCGAGATATAGCCAAGACAATAGAATGCGTCATCGAGGGGGTTAACAGGATTTCAATAATTTGTTTTCAATGAACTTCAGAAATCCATTTTTGGAAAAGATCATGCCTAAAAAGGCCAAGAACCAAAGGTTTTGTTTAAAAACATTGCAGCAGAATAATTTGGACTCATTTCATCAACTTAGCGGTCCATATCAGCTGCTTACAAAATATTACAATAAAATATTAACATACTTTAGTTCAATGGGATCAGTCAGAACAGGACAACTACATAGTGAAATAAGGACACTGTGTGAATTGAACTCAAAATGTTATTTAATGATGTCGTAAATAAATATATTGTATAGAAGCGATAATTCTTGAGCAAATTGGATGGTTGGTAGAAAGGCAAATGTTGTCGGATTTAGAACAAGAAATTGCGTAGGTTAGTTAGTTAGTTAGACATGACAGATCCAGCGGAAAAGGGAATTACGAAAGCACTCAGAGAACTTTTGAAAGCGAAGCTGATCAACTATTTCATAAAATAATTGGAAGCCTTGAAGAACTCGTTTACCTTTTATGTATGGTTTACCTAAGATACATTCAGAGAATGTTTCATTAAGACCTAGACTACCAATGGTTAATTGACCTAACCGCAAAGTTGCGCACTGATTAGTGGGAAAATTGGAGCCTGTTGTTCAACAGTTAGCTAAATGCACTACAGAAGACTCGTTTCAGTTGATCGAAACGGTAAATCAACTTAGTGTGTGGAGTGAGTTTGTGATGTCTTTTGATGTGACTTCCTTATTCATGCGAGTACGTCCTCATAAAACTTTAGACATCTGCCAGCACGGCGATCTCCTCCCTCCACCAACAACCGAATTCAAGCAGCTAACATGTACGAAATATGATAGCATCCTATATCGCTAAGTTGACAGTGACAATCGTAATCCATTAGGCCTTAGATTGGCAGATATTTGTATAGCTAATCCAGAGATGATAAAACTGAAATGCATAATTAATTAAACAACATCCCACTTTAGATATGTCGATGATACTTTCACTGTATGTAAGAATTTACAACGCACTACATTTGCTTGGAATCTTGAAAGGTAGAATGGCTTCACTAACCGTCATCTTCTTCCTGCCAGTGTTCTTAATAACCGCAAATAGTTCCCCGGTATTACCTAACGATGTTGTCTTCTCTACCTCTCTCGTTTTCGCCACCCACCCATTACCAATGGTCATTGTAAAGACTACTGGTCGATTTATGTCTGAGCTGCTTCCCCTTTTTATTATAGTCAGAACCAGTTGGAATGAGTCGTCTTGCACCAATGAGTTCGGATGACGTTGTGCAAATCCACTGGCAAGACAGGTAGTGTCATTTGCCCTCACGCAGTAGGTGTTGCTCATTGCCTGGTCCTCGAATGTGCACAAGGTTCCTGCGTGCATTTCGATTTTTCGACACGACCTTCGGATGTAGGTTACTAACTATGCTTCACCGCCGTTTCTACAGCAGATTGAACACACTAAGTCTTATCAGGACGAGAATTTCTGTCACGCACACATAGATGCTCAGGTATCCTTTCCCTAAATACTTCACATTCTCAATCTAAAGTCCAGCACACGAAGGCTTCATTGTTGCTTGATTCTCCGGCCAGTAAGGTGCATCATCAGAGTTTAAACAGGTAGTTCAGAAATAGCGACAATCCTCAAAAGATACCTCAAAGCAGATGACAATAATAAAATGGATTTATATATTTCTACTCCAACGTTTTTCGCTCTTTACTAGTTGACAAAGGGAATTATGGTACAAACGTTCTGTATCGAGAGTGAGATCTAGAACTAGGTGAAAATAAAGTGTAAGAAGCATGTGTTACTGATGATTATAGCCAGGTATGACTGTTTTTCACAGGCTTCACATAACGAAAAATGCTCAAAACCTTGGTGTTGACAACAGGTGCTAAACAAAGAAACTAAATCCTTTGAACTCACAAACATTTAATAACTACAAGTAAGAAATAAATGTTGCATGTACCAATCAACCACGAGTTACAAACAGGAAATGCGTTTCAAATACAACAGAAGTTGTTTTGCACTGCTTACATATTCACTATAAGACTTGGCACGTTGAAAAGAATAAAATAATTGTAAGATACAGAGCTGCAGAATACTAAAGCAATGCAGAACTGCAATCAAACACAAAAACACATGATGTCATCCGTCTCGAATAAAATAAACCATGCTACATCGTATCAGGCCTATTATCAACCGTCTACTTTTTTTCGCGATAACAAGAAATAACGATAATGTGCTACTATTTTGATGTTGAAGTGAACTTTTACACACATAAAAAAAGGATGGAAACTTATTCTTACTTGGAAAATGAACATGAAATAGATCAGCATAACCATATACACGATGCGAAACACTACGACAGGTTGTTGAACGGAAACTAACAGCATACTCATACAACAAACGACGATCCAATACTTCACGCATAAAGAATGCGTGAATTCAGCTGTGGAAGAAAAAGAAAGCAAGGTACTTTTTTCAAAACGGTAGGTTTCATGTTCTTCTTCCAATGCAAATTCAACAGAATGTGACATAAAGTCAAAACGGCAGTCAACTCGAAAATGACAAGAATGTGTGCATACTTTCCTCATGATAAATCTATTATTGTGATCTAAGGAACTGGTTTCAATCCAACATACACTATCGCAAAGAGCATGACGGTACCCGTTTCACCCGTTTGCGACGACCGATACGTTTCTGCTTTTTAGAAATTATTACATTAAGTATCAGAATATTTTATAGTAGTAAAACCTCCATTATGAGCTGATTAAAAATGAAACAAAGTAGCATATTTCCAATACACATTCCCACAACACTAAAAAATATAATTTCTAATATGTAACTCCACCTCTACAATTCTACAGTCGATAAACATCTGATACCAAAATGCAGTCAGACAGCAAAAAGTCTCAAAATACAACGAAAGCCTTAAAAATTGAAAAAGACCATTTATCATATCTTCACGCTATCCAAGATACTACCAAGCACACGTTTACCTGCCGGGCTTCCGATACTGCCAACATTCCTTAACACAGTGGAGGCATTCAATACGGTCAACCAACAAGCAATTTTCCAACGAATGCCTGTGAACGAAATGCTGAGCAAGAACATTATTCACCATCTCAACGATAGTTAACTCATGAAATAATGCCGCTAGTACATGCAATATTTAATACGGTCATCATTCGCACTTAAAGTTGCACAAGCTGTGGCGATGCATCTAATCAAAAGAACATCAAGGCGGACTACCAGTACAATTAAAACACGACTAGCCCAACATGACAACAAAATGTGAACCTTCGCGAACTGCCAAACAAAACCACAGCCATAAAAA